AGAGCGCTATTCCTTGACATGAGAGATTGGGGCCAATTGTTCTAAAGGAAATTCAGGATGTCACAAGAAATTCAGGATGGAATTCGGGGTTTGGAGAGTTATGATGATGTTCCAGAAGACGACGACTTAACTATATTTGAATAAATGTAGATTGTTGTACCGTACTTAAAAAAATAACATCCCCTGAAAATAAGCCATAGGGTGTCTTCTTGAGGAAAAATAAATATAAGACCCTGTCTTATTTTCGGGGAAACACGGTATTTAGAAACTGGCAAAGTAAATGCTTGGATGTTATGAGGTAGTTGAGGTAAATTGTGAGAGTTTTTCAAAGGAGCTCCTTACCTCACACAAAAAGTAGGTGGAAGACTTGAAATCCATTCAATTTATTGAACTCCCTTCATAGACGGATAAAATAAATGAGGCACCCTCCTTCAAATGGCTGAAGTACCGCCACAGCAGCTGAGGCCATTTTATGGAGCATGGCGCCACCTTGTGGCCACTGTCAAACCACCTATTGTTAATAGGACACCATTCCAGCAGGGCTTTTTTGTGCAAGACAGGGTCTCCCTCAGTTGCCCAGGCTGGATGCAGTGGCTCAGTCATAGTTCACTACAGCCTTGAACTCCTGGACTCAAGTGATCCTCCTGCCTCAGCATCCTGAGTAGTGAGGACTAAAGGTGTGCATCACCATTCCTGGCTGACTTTTATTTTTTTGTATGTGTAGAGACAGTGTCTAGTTATTTTGCCCAGGCAGGTCTCAAACTCCTGGCCTGAAGCAATCCTCCTGCCTTGGCCTCCCATAGTGCTGGGATTACAGACGTAAGCCACAGCACCCAGGCTCCAGCATGTTATTTAATTAAAACAAGAACATTATATTCTATCAGGAGCCTAGGGATATCAATATTTTCAAATGTTCTCAAAAAACATGACACTTTGGTTACTTTTATAATTTTATTGACTTTTTTCTCTTCATAACTTCAAAATAAAAACAGCACATGAAAACCAGTGTATTATCCCAACATCTCAACATAGTTGATTGCCTCAGAAAAGCTGCAACATCATCTTACTCCTCTGAATAAACACTGTAAATACTCCAACTACATAGCAAGTTCAAGTTTCTGCCCATACCAACACATAGCCAATAATCAAACCCTTGCTGCCACCTCCAGGGGCTCTGGGTCTCTACCTGTCTCATCTCTCAGCTGCTCTTCTGGTGCTAAGACTGGGTCTTCCTGATGGGTCTATTTCAGGGTGGGTCAAGGCTGAGCTGGAGGGAAAAGCACAGTCTGGATCCACAGTCACCTCCCTCTGGCCACCCGTTGGCCAGCCGTTGGCCAGCCAGGAAATCATTTCCACACAGTCTTTTGTCTCCACTGTTTGTCTCCTCCCTTCCCTAAGACTTATTGCTATCAATTTCACATAACATTGGATTCAGTGTCCATTAAACTACCGGAGAAGTGGTTTGAGTTTTAACCTGACATATTTTCCTGAGCTAAAAAAGAAAACAAAGTACCTCTATGGCCTTCCTGCCATTAAGATCAAGTAAAAAGGGGAAAAGCACTACTGAGAAGGGCAGCATTAGAAAAGCAGTACACTCTCCTCCTCACCTCCATGAAGGCTGCCCTAGCTCTAACTCTTGAGGGTACAACAAGGCAGTACAACAAGGAGGTATAATGGGGAGAAATGTTTATTTTCCCCTTTTGAACTTTCCTGCTGTCCCCGTCTTTGCCTTCTTCTTAGCGGATCCCTTGGGTTCTGGCTCCTTGCGCTTAGCCGAAGACAGCGAGCCAGTCACCTTGAAGAAATCATCCAGGCGCCCCTGGGTGCTGCCTTGGCGGCTCTTGCTCAGTCGCTTGACCCCACTGCGGATTCGCTCCTCAGAGAACTGCTTTTCACCACACATGAACTTGACCAGCTCTTCTTCATTCGGCTCGCTCCACTTCAGCTCCACAGATTCTGGGTCTAGCACTTCGGGTTCCAGGAAGAGCCGCTGGGCTTCCTTGTGGAGCCAATTTTCCGGCACGGGGTACTTGTTGGGGTCGAGCCGCCTCACAATCTCCTCGATGCTCTTGTGCTTCTAGATGAGGTCCACAGCCCGCTTGGGCCCGATGCCCCGGATACTCTCACAGTAGTCACTACCCAGCAGGATGCACAGATCCACAAACTGCTCCTGGTTCAGACCCAGCTGCTGCAGAATCCGGCTCAAGTGGAATTCCTGGATAGGCAGCTTCTTGGCCTCACTGGCAGTCAGGTGTCGCATCAGCACAGGGCTGCCGAAGGTGAGGCAGTCCATGTCCTCAGTGGCCGCAGCGTAGACTTTGCCGGCCTTCACCAGGGCAGCACAGCTGGCCTCTGCCTCACTGGGCGCGTCGAGGTAGGGGATGCTCATGAGGCTCAGTAGATGTTTGCACTCATCGTTGTGCTGCTTGGTGACCTTCACCAGACGCTTGGTGAATTTTTCCACCTCCTCCTCGGCCCCAGAAGCCTGAGCCTGCTGCAGCTGCTTCTCTGCCTCAGCCCTCCGCTCACTGCATTTGGCCAGCTCGCCTGACTTGAGCTGTGGTGGTTTGCCGTCAAAGACATACACGGGCTTGATGCCATTCTCCATCATGCGTATGGTGCGATAGAACATGCCCATCAGGTGGCTGGTGGTCTCACCCTCCTCATTCTGCAGCACATCCCCGCCCTGGCGAACAGCAATCAAGAACTGATAAATGCTCATGGAGGCATCAATGGCCACCTTGCGGCCAAAGTAGCTCTTGATGTCATTCTCCCGGATGGCACTGGGGGCCACATCAGCAATGAGTTTGGCCAGGCCTTGAATCCCCATGGCAATATAGAGAAGGGATGGCTAAAAGAGAAAGGCGAATAAGAAAAGGACGAACTTCAGGGATGCAAAAGGAACAAGGGTTATAATTGGTGCTATCTCACCAACTTCACATGTTCAGCTAATCAAATTTAGCTCAATAAAAAAGACACGAAGTCAGTACTGCAGGAGATAAAAGGATGAACAAGAGAAGGTCTCCATTCTCAAAAAACTTACATTCAACCAGGAGAATTTGCTCATTTAATACTAAGGCTTACTGAGTACCAGGAACTGACCTGAGTGCTTAGGAGAATAAACATTGTTGATATTCTAAGGCAATAGCATTATCTATTATACAAAAAAGACTACAACATAATGTCTGCATCAAGCACCATGGAAGGCCAGAGGAAGTGCATGGCCCAGCTTCAGGAGCCCAGGGATCATAATGACAGAACTGAGCCTTGAAAGACAGGCACATATTAATGCTAGTTAAATATAAGTGATTTGTTCTGAGTCTCTGGAGAACTCTGACTGATAAAGTAGTCTTGAAGAATAATACAGCAAACACAGGCAATAGGGAGTAATGTGGCTTTCCCACATGCTGCTCTTACCTCTCTTCAGCATCCCTCTAGCACATAGGAGTTTCTACTTTTACCATGATGTTGCCAGGAGTTTTAAGTCTTTCCCCTTGTATCTCTTCATTTCACTAAGTCTGAAAAGTGAACACAATAGCTCCTACCCTACCCCAGGTTTTGATTTAGGAGCTTGGCATGCTGTAGTCACTCAGCCCAGTATTGCACTTCCATGGTTCAGGCCTCTCATCATCTCTTTTCTAGGGCAGTGTTTCCCAAACCACCTTATAATTTTTGCCACTTCCAACTAAAATCTGTACTTTCGTTCATTTAATATTTTCTTTAAATGGACACAATGTTTTTTAAAAACTAAGTTGAAAAGAGAACTTATCTTAAGCAATAATACCTGTTATATCAGTTACATTTTAATATGTGTTAAATGTGTACCTATTAAAAAGGATATTTTTGGAGTGCAACTTAGTCATCTTGTACCCACTGGCCAGTGGTGTCCAACAATCTAGGAAATATTCTACCAGGTCTTCTAATTGTTCCCACTCTTCCTTCGCATGGTTGTTTCTAAAGCATAAATGACTCTGTGCCCTCCTCCTGCCATCCACTCTCCCCCTCCTTCAAGATCCATCTCATTTTAGTTCTCCTGTGAATGGCAATGGCAAAAGGTCTGGCCTTGAGACTAGTGGCCAGCATTTAACCATCTGTGTGACATTCCTAAGTCACTTAAGTTTGGTTTTCTCATCTATAAAATTACAGCCACGCGTGTCTTGTAGGATGACTGCTAGGGTTAACTGAGACAATCGCTGTAAGTTTCTATTGTCCCGACATAACACCAGGTACTTTGTGTTCTCCATCCAAAACCAATTCAACCCGTTCCTTCCTGCCTCAAACTGGCAGCTTTGCTAGAGTGTGTATTGAAGTGACCATTCATAGTGAGCCGTTTATCTTCTCGCGGCATCGAACAGAAGCAGGCAGGAAAGGGGCCTAAACAAGTAAGGATTCAAAAATGTTTCTCGTCCAGAGTCTTAGTAAAAATACACCCTGACCTCATAAGGTCTAAGTTATTAACGTCTTTCTGCAAGTGAAGAAAGAGGCTCAGAAGGTACGCGACTGGTCCCAGTCTCACAGCCGGAAAGTGGCAGGACCGCCAGTCTGCGAATCCCGCGCACGACAGATTCTGGCTCCCCAGGCACCCAGCGCAGAGCGGACCGCGTTGCTCTACGAGACGCTTCCCACGGGGCCTCACCTGGCTTTTGGGGCACAACGCTTTGGCAGGTTGAGCTTGGTCCGGTGTTGTCCAGGACACTCCTAAAGCCGGCTCCCTTCTCCGCTTGGTCGCGGGTCGGCTCTTGCTCCAGCGCCTTCCAAAGCCCGCGCTCCCGTCACGTGACCCGCCCGCCGCGCACAGCCTCCCGGGGAGTGTAGTGCAGGCCGCGCTCCTCAGACAGCTGCTCTGATGGCAAACAGTCCCTCCAGGGAGAATAGACTCTCTCAGCGGCTCTGCCCCACCCTTCTCCACCGCTTGTCCCCAATCCACCCACAACAGAGCCCCGCGAGCCCCAGCTCCCTCTACACCCGCAATTATAGGACTACAAGTCCCACAATGCCCCTTGCTCAGGGGCACTTCCTCTTCCGGCTGCGCGAGGCTTTTGCTCCAGCCGACGTGTTCTTCCGGTGGCGAAGCGGCAGCTTACCCTGTGCAGGGCAAAATGGTGAGAACATTGAGGGACGTTTGGGGCAGGGTTGTGAGGACCAGTGGGGGCCTGAGCCACACCGCGGTTCTCTCGCGGAGGCTTCAAGACGTCGGAGATCCAGAGAGCTGGACGCTCCTGGAACTTCCGGCTTGGGCTGAGGGATGGGGAAAGGAAACCCCTTGCCTGCCATGAACTCCTTAGGCTAAGGTCTTGATCGGACCTGGCTCAGAGCTCGCGATTTATAAAGATGAGGGGCGTGGGGTGTATTTTGAATACCTTCAAGCTTATATCTCTGTTACCTGTGGTCTGCTGTCTCCTTTTGGAAAGTTCTTCCCCCTACCGAACTCGTACCCATCCCCTAAGGCCCTGGGTAAATGTCATTTCTTGGTGAAGTACTTCCATCTCTCTCTGGCACTTGGCCATTCCCTCCTGGGAGCGCCCACAACCTCTGTACAGACCTCTGGCCACGTTTCATGGACTTCTTTGTTTTCTGCCACGCCTCCTAGTGACCACCGTCTGACGTGCATCTAGCTCTGGGATGAAGTCTATTCATCTTTGTATTCCCAGTGCCACACACGGGGCCTGTAATTGGAGGCTCAATAAATGGCAGTGATTGTCTTTATCATTTTAGGGGGAGGGGAACATAATTGTTTACTGAATTGAATTCCAGTGTCTCTTAGAACAATAGGGTCAGTTTACTTCTCTAGAGTTGTTATGTTCTGGATTTTAGAAGCATTGGCTGATGGGTGACAATGAAGTTAACATTTGTACAGAGCTTTACGTTTAGAGCTCTCTTTCACAGGCATTATCTCATAATCTTCCCTACAACCTTCGGAAGGAAACAAACACCTATTGAGCAATTACTCTATGCCAAGCACTAAACTAGATGCTTTGACATTTGTCATCTTATGTCATAGATCAAGCCTATGACATGGATATCATCCTAACTGCTTTTCTGAGATTCAGATTATTCAGTAGATTCAGATTTTTAGCTGGTGTCTTTTGCTGGTAGACCCTGACATTCCATAGTAGTATGATGAGAAGAATACTCAATTAGAAGTTGAGATCTGGGTACCAGTCCAGACTCCGTGACGTACAGCAAGGATTCTCAGCATAGTGTCTATAGATTTGAGTCCACAAAGCTTCAAATATTGTAGGCCAACTTTTTCTTGTATGTGATTTTTCCCAGGCAGAGAATTCATACCTTTCATCACCTTTTCATGGTGTCACTGGCCTCGAAAAATGCCAAGGAGCATTGATGTGTAGCTGTCACCTTCTGTGACTCAGCCTCTGACTCTCAGCTGCCCTTCTTGTCTAATATTGAAAAGATAGAGTACTACCTCAGTTTTAAGATAGACCTGTAATTGTCATTCCCGTACTGAACCAGTTGGTGTTGGTTCTGAAGGATTTCCACATCTTTAGGCTGAAATAGGCCTTTGGCAGTCACAGGAGCACAACGCTTCTTGATAACCCCACAGTCTCCCCAGGCCGAAATCCTATGATTCTTTGATGGCTCTACTCTCATGCCTTCCTCTAGGAGCTCGAGGCCATGAGCAGATACACCAGCCCAGTGAATCCGGCTGTCTTCCCCCACCTGACTGTGGTGCTTTTGGCCATTGGCATGTTCTTCACCGCCTGGTTCTTCGTGTATCCTTTCACTGAGCAGCCAGTGGGCCAGTGTTTGTGATGTGGGAAACTGAGGGAGAAACTGTGCTAGGTACATGCACCCTGCCAATTTTGTACTTTGGATTGGGGATGGGAGAAGGTAAGGAGGGGAAGGCTGATGATGCCCAAGGTCAGGTTGTGGTCTTATTTCCCAAGTTCAGATGAGTTTAGTTTGCTCTTCAGATTTCCGGGACAGTGAGCGGAGGGCCTGGCTGGTGTGGAGGAGGGAGATGGGGGAGCTCAAGTTGGAAAAGTAGTATAAGGAAGGATGAGCTCAGGTGTCAGGAGGTCTGAGGGCTAGTCCCAGCTCCACCACTCGTGTATGACCTGGGGCGAGTGACCTAACTCCTCTGGGTCTCATTTTCTTCCTGGGTGGTGGAGGGTAGTATGGAACAACATAGTCCGAATCATCTCTTGGGCCCCTGTGCCTGGATGCACTGAGCCAGAAAGCATTTAGCCCAGACCTTTCTCCCCAGAGCACCACTGGCCGGGCTCCGCAGTCCATCCCGTTGTTTTGCCTTAACAGCCCCACTCAGTTATGAGGTCACCTCCACCAAGTACACTCGAGATATCTACAAAGAGCTTCTCATCTCCTTGGTGGCCTCACTCTTCATGGGCTTTGGAGTGCTCTTCTTGCTGCTCTGGGTCGGCATTTATGTGTGAGCTCCCAAGGGTAAGAGCTGTGACAAAGTGGCCGCCTAGAGAAGTTTCCTCATGCTCACATCAGCAGGGTCCTCATGGTCAGTCAGCACCTGACTTGGGAGTGGAATGGGACACTAGCCACATGTCCCTCTTTCCCTGCCCCTCATGGGGATTTGAGCTGAGTGTGGCCTCCCTTGTCAGTTCTGAGTTCACACGGCCCAAGGCTTTGGGGTGTGGGGTGCAGGTTTCCCATGGTTATACATTTGCATTCTTATAAGTCATGCACCAATGACTTGGAGAGGCTGCCGTGCTGTCTGGAAGGGGGTCAAGATCTGGGACTTAAAACTTGCTGCAGATAGTCCACAAACAGGTCACTGAGAATCTGCTCTGGTAGCTCATCCTCAAAGGAGTGTACTCGTCAGACCTTGCCCCGGGAGCCCAGGGGTTCAGGGAGAGAGGACGGTGGGAAGGAAGTCAGTAGTCTCATTTTGATACCCTTCTCCTCTTTCAGGTACCAACCAGACGGCTTCACTGAATCTCTGCTCTTGTAAATTTTTTTACTGTTGCTGGAAGTATCCCACCTGCTGCTCACAATAAAGGCAAATGTCTGACAGTCCTGTCTGGTGCCCATTGTGTGGGGCTAGGAGTGTTGGGGCCTATGCAGTTTCTCCTGTCCCACTCCTTCCCAGTTCTCTTCTGCCTGTCACACAGTTCTTGCTGCTGGGAAACCTGCCTTCTACCGCTGGGAGATGAGGGCTGTGTGGCAGGGGTATCTTGTCATTGGAATTTAAAGTTCACCTGTGGATAGGAAAGGTCCAGGCCTACCCTCTTCTGTTGTTTCTAGAACAAACCTCTAGGAACCACACCAATCCATTCTGCCCTGGCCTATCCCCTCTAAACAGAGCCACCCTTCTCTGGGCTGGGGCACCCTCACCAGGCTCAGCTTGTCCCCTAAGGTTTTTTCGCTGGGTGGCTACTCTTCATTCAGGTGGGCAGTGGGAGGTGTGGCCTGGGGAGGGGCTGCTGAGTCCATTCCCAGCCCTGTATGAGGTTAAGAAGGATAAGGGGTACAAAGGGTCAATCTTGCTTGGGGCCCTGAAGATTCCAGACTTCTCAGGAAGACATTTGAGTTCCAATTGGTCCCAGCTCCACAGCGGACTCCCTCTCTCACTAGATCAATCCCAAGAAGAGACAGGAGGCAAGCTCAGATACAAAGCAGTATTTATACATTTATTTATATATGTATATTTACTTCAGAAGAAAAGAACAGTTGGGGGGACAGGAAGCAAGCAGGCTCCCTCTCTGCCCACTGCAGAGTCAGAGTTGGTACATGATAAATATGAGTCAGAGCTCAGGGAGGGGATCTGGGAGTTAACTTGGGGGTGGGGTGCTCTATGCACATGCAGGCTTCTAAGGGGGGGTATGGTGTGGGCAGGGGGTTTGCACTGGGAGGCCCTATGTACAGCTTGAAGCTAAGGGGAGATCAGCCCAGTGGCTACAAGAACAGACACTGAAGAGGAGAGAGGAAGGGAGGGATGGCCTGCTGGACCCCAGGTTGGGGTTGGAGCTGAGACACCCGTACCCCAATGCCAGCCTGGTGGCCGGCAGCCTCCAGCAGGTGGCCCCTCACCTTCCCTGAGGCCCGTTTACCACGGGCTTAAGGCAACTTTGGTCCAAGGTTGACTCCCTCAAGCAGCTTGGAGCCCCACCCTGGCCCCAACCCCTGCACTGAGGACCCCCTCCCCAGGCCTGGAAACAGATCCAGCTGCTAACGGGACTGGGTTATGCTGTGTCCAGACAGACTCCAGAGGGGCAGAGGAGGGTCACTTTCCAGTTAAGGACTGAAGGGCCACAGTCCAAGAACACATACCCCTAGTGAGGAAGGAACAGAATCCTATTACAAGGGGTGGGGCTCGGCAGTTTTAAGGCATCAGAGAGAGATTCCCCAGTGGGAGGGGGGAGCACAGTGTAGTCCTAAGTGAGGCTCGGCCGCCTGCATGACACAATTCCTATGTCAGAGTGAGGGCATGGAGCCCAGTTGGGCAGGGGCTGCAGGTGGGGTATCCCTGTATCCCCTGGTGTTTCCCTATCCTGAGGATAAGTGCTTTGAGATCCATGGCAGAAGGGGGCTGGCAGTTCATAGGCTTCAAGAATTCAGCTCCCCCTCAGAAAGCCCTCTCATTCAAAGCTGAGAATGAGAGGTAGGATGGGCAAGGCCTGGTTCCCAAAGAGCTGGCAGAGTGCCACAGGGCACGGACGGCAATTCCCTTTCCCGTTTCTGGAACCATGGCAGACATGGCTAAATGATGACCACACTCCTTCCGTGAACCTGGGTGTGGCCTCACAATGCTCCAGGTGCCACTATGAAACGTTGAGGTTGGCACTTGAGATAAAACATCTTCCCTAACCCACGCCCACCACTCCTGCTCCTGGGAGGGATACACAGATGGAGCCTACTGCAGGCACGGGTCCCTCCAGCTTGACTGTCCAAGCCCAGCAGGGGAGCCTTTGATCTGGAGAGACGAGGCCACCAGCAGACAAGAGTGGAGGGAGAGGCCAGAGTCGTGGTGGTCAGGAGTGGGACGGGCATCTCTGAGGCTCCCCAGGAGCAGGCGTCACACCACAGCTCTGGCCCGCTCTGGGCCTTCCAGCTCCATCCTTCCACTCCTTCCCGCCCTGGTCTAAGTGCATTTAGTAATTACTTCATTAATAACAGCAAAAGCTATTGACATCTGCCCACCAGCCAAGACCAGCCTGCTGCTTGCAGGGTTCCTGCTCCTCTGCTCAGAGAGAATGATGTGGTCACTGACACCATTGTGAGCTGTGGACGCTCCCAGGAACACAGGCGGTGGGGCTGCAACACTCTCTGGGGGCTCTTAGGGAACTTCCTCTTCTGGGATGCTCCAAGTTCAAGGGTCCAAGGCTTACCTGGCCCCTGGCCCCCACTGGTTCAGGCCTGTGAAGGGCCCAGGGTGGCTTCACCAGGCACTAAGTGGACTTAAGGCACAAAGTCAGTCTCTCCGACCCATCCAGGACTGGCCTTGGCTGCCCTGGGAGTTTGGGGGAGCCAAGCACCTGGGCCACACTTAAAGCTTAGAAATCCAAGTCCAGCGTAACAGTCAACCCCCAAAAGTTCCTCTACCAAGCTGTCCCCCGGGGAGCAGCTTTGAGGGGGAGAGCTTTCTGCCCTCCATTGACTCATGGGAGTCCAGCCAAGTCTCTTAGTGCTGGATCCAAGACCCCAGCTGACCTCAAAGGCAGGCAGGTCCTCTCCGAGAGGGGTGGTTCCCAGTCTCAAAAGGGGAGGCAGGGGAGAGTGGGCTCTGGACAAATCAGGGTCACAGGCTTCCTCTGGCCTCCAGGACACCCGAAGCCAACCTTCCAACCACCATATCTGGACAGGTGTGAATTCCTGGCCCAGAGGAGGTGGCAGGCAGGAAGGCCCAGGAAGTCTGTCTCTGGCTCCCTCTGTGCAGGGTGAGGGGCGACCAGCTGGAACAGCAACTCCAGTGTGAGGACTTCCAGTTTCACCAGTCGAGGGAAGGGCCAGCGTATGGCAGAGCTGGCGGCAGCAGGCTCCAGTGTAACACCATCGCATCCAGTGTGAGAGGGGTGCCCGAGGACCCCTGGTCCCTGGTGTGGTGCTGCCTCAGGAGGGCAGCTCAGTCGCACAGGCGGTAGAAGTGGAAGTAGTAGTCTGTGGCTGGCTGGGCAAGGGCCTCTGAGCTGCAGTTGGCTTGACCCTGGGGAGAAAGGCAGTGGGAACAGATGAAGCGGCTCTCGGAGTGCAGGGCAGGTGGCACTTCCCTGCTGATACTGCTTGACGCTGTGCCCCAAAGTCCTACCACGTTTGCTCCGCAAACGCCCCACTCACCCCCAAACCCCACGCCACGGACAGAGGTGCCTGGACCTCCGGGGAAAGGCGGCGTGCCCGTGCTCACCAGCAGTGCCACCCGGAAGTGGTAGGTGAAGTCACCAAAGGACAGGATGGTTACTGGCCACTGGTGAGAAGTGCCCTGGAGAGAGAAGGGAAAGGGGTCAGGACAGCCCCCTGCCCCATCCCACCCAGCATCCCCCTTACCACTGCAGCCCCGGGGGTGCGGCAAGTTTTAAGAAGGGAAAAAGCAGGGCTTCGAAGAGATGGAGGGAGCATGTTCTGCCTTAGGGAGCAGAGGCAGCTACTCCACGCAGACCAACAAGTCCCAGCCGACTTCACCTGGCCCCGCCTCCCTTTCCTGTCCCCTGTGCCCTGTTCCCTCACCCACTGTGCTCTGGGCACACTGAAGTATGTCATTAACCTCATCCTCACTACAATCCAATGAAGCGGTGCTGCTCCTAGCCCTGTCTCACAGATGAAGAAACCGAATCACTTGCCAAAAAATCACACAGTGTGGCAGAGCTGGGATTCAAACCCAGGGCTGTCTGGCTCTCTCCCTCCCAGGGCAGCAGGGGGCTGCAGGCAGCGTGCCCATCTCCTACCTGAGCTTGGCTTTGCCTCTGTTCTGTGGGCTCGGGCCTGAGCACCGTGTCTAGTGAGCGTCTAGCTGGGCTGTCCCTCCTCTCTGCAGGGCCACGGGGCCTCTCGGAGCACTCACCCACTCCCCTCCTGCACTCAGGGTGCTTTCTGCATGTCTTGTCCCCCTCACCAGAATGTGTTTTTGGAACTTAAAGCCTATTTCTACCCCTCCTCTGTCCCCCTGCAGCTGGGCCCAGCACAGGCCTGGGACAGAAGGGACCCCTATAATTATCTGTTGCATAAAACACAAAGGAATGAGAAGAGATGTCACTACTTCCCTTAACTTGGAGTCCTGAGAGCTTTCTCCTGTGGCCTCTCAGGCCCGGGGAGAAACTAGTGGTGCATCAGCTCCAGTGGGTTGTTAATTTCTGGTTATGTGGCCAGGCAGGAGCCAGACAGTGACAGGGTCTGGCCATCCAGTTCTCCCAGACCAAGAGGCAGCCCCCACACAGAGCCCGAGGTGTCTTCTAATATTGCAGATCAAACCGTGCCATGGCCTAGCCCGAGGATGAGGTCTAGGCTCCTTCCTGCCTCTGTACGTTCCTTTGCCGTCCCCCCACCCGCACCTCGGCCCTCCCACCGTGGGGTTCCCAGGGATGCCCGCCCGTCTCCACCACGGCACTCACCCCTGTCAGTCCTGGGGGCTGTTTTCCTCCCTGGGTGCCCTCACGGCGGGGAGTGGAATGGACACGTGCGTGCGTGCCCCCTGCCTGGGGCACAGAGGCCCAGGCCCCAGAGAGGCCCTTGTGGAGACACCTTCACTGTGACTCCTCGCTCCCTCTCCTCACCTGCTCGGGGCCCGGTTGCACCAGGGGAGAGAAAGCTCCAGCCCAAGCCCAGTGCCACCTACCTGGGTGTCCTGGTGGGCGTGGAGACTCTGCGGGAAGGCGCCCTCCTCACACGGCTCCCCCTTTGACATCAGACTGCACAGCACCACGGACACAGGGGAGGAGGAGCTGGGGACAGACCCAATTAGTAGGAAAATGGGGTTCTGGAGCCCTCCACTACAACCCCACCGATGGAACAAGCTACCGAGTCCTCATACAGCCGGAAAACATTGCATAATAACCAAAGTCCCCCATAGGGCTGCTGTCCCCAACCTCTGTGCCACAGCCCAGTCCTGGTCCGTGGCCTGTTAGGAGCCTGGGCGTGCGTCACCACCTGAGCTCTGCCTCTTCTGCCCTTGGAAAAACTGTCTTCCGTGAAACGTAGGAAGGGGGTGCACACAGCAGGGGGTGAGCAGCAGGTGCGTGAGTGAAGCTTCATCTGTATTTATATCCGCTCCCCATGCTCGCGTCACTGCCTGGGCTCCGCCTCCCCACCCACCCCTCCCCCGGTCCATGGAAAAATTGTCTTCCATGAAACCGGTCCCTGGTGCCAAAATGGTTGGGGACCACTGCCATAGGGTACAAACCTTCCCCATCTGCCATCCCATATGGCCCTCCCAGCCCCTGTGGGCAGGGTCATTTAGCCCGTGAGCCTCGAAGTAGGCAATAAAGTGAGCAGCCCTCCCGAGCCCCTGCCCCAAGCTGTTTGGGTCCATCGTGCAGGAAACGTACTGGGCCCCTGGGCTGGCCTCAGGTCCGGCCATTCTGAGGGTCTGCAGGGGCTTCTCCCTGGCTCACCCATCCCCCGACACCCCCACGCCAGCACTCACTTCATCTGCAGGGTCAGGCTGAGGTGCAGTGGAGTGCTGCTGCTCACAGGGATGTGGTAGGTGAAGTTTCCAGGCCTGAAGGGGCAAAGCTGGTGTTTTAGCCTAAGACAACTCTGCCGAAGCCTCCCCCGTCCGCTCCCCAGCCCTGTCTGTGCTGCAGCCCCTCGGAGACCCTGGCATGGGTTCCTCCCTGAGTGGGGCAAGATCTGGGCATAGACACTGCCTGGGCTCATGTCCTTGAGGGGACCTCCCTGGGGTGAAGGGGAGGAGGAGCCCAGCCCACCTGCAGGCGTCCCCAGGAGCACAGTACTGGGAGGTGATGGGCATGGAATTCTCCAGCACCTGGATGGAGGTCAGGGAGGGTACTGGGTCTGCAAGGAGAGAGGCTGTTGGGGCAGGGAGGAAGGTGACAAGACAGGACACAAACGAGAAGCAGTCGAGTCTTTCCTTGCCAGACTTGGATCAGTCCCTCACACCTTAGTATGAGTAAGTTTCAGGCTATTCTTTCCAGACCCCCACAGTGGCTGGGCTCATACCACACCCTTTCCCAGCAGCCCTCGGCCTGGCCAGTCTGCAGGAGCCTGAGGTCTGCTCCTCCGCAGAACCGGAACACCCAGAAGCAGGGACGGCCCGCAGTTACAGGAGCACCGGCCTCTGTTCCTGGGCACACATTGCTCCTCAGCTCTGGGTTCAGTGATGTGACGACACTGGTAGCTTGGCACCAGCCGTGGTGGGGGTACTCACACACAAACCGGGGCTTTCCCTACCCCAGAGAACCAAGTGTCGCACACCTACCAGCACGCCGCTGCTTACGGCCCTCTCTGAACGCACCCGCCGCAGACTGGCTAGCTAGGGGGGACACAAGGCTTCCTTGCCCATCGTCACTCACTGTCCTGCAGGCTTGCTGCTGCCTAACCACTCCACCCAGGGACAGAGGAGCTGGGGTCACTGAACGCTTGCTGGACCTGGTACGTTTTCAGCTTTGCGAGACACAACCCAGGGCCCAAGGTGCCCCAGAATGCTCTGTGCAGCCAGGGACAGGTATCAGATACAGACAAGATGAAAGGTGCCCTTCCCTTCTGGGCAAACTCCCAATGTCCTCAAAGATTCAGCTCCTATGTTACTCCCTGCCTAATCACCTCCCCACCTTAGCCCAGATCAAGTGCCCTCCCCAGGCCCAGAGCTGCCTGCCTGTCCCTTCAGAGCCTCATCACACTGCTGTGCTTTCATCTCTGCGAGCTCTTTGGGGACAGGGGTGGGTCTGTCTTCATCACCCCCAGTGCCCTGGACAGAGCCAGCCACAGAGCAGCGCAGAAAACAGCCTCCTGGTGAGCATCAGCCCCTTGGGGTTTCCCCATCACTTTGAACTCCAATCTCTGCAAGCCAGTTTGCAAGCTGTTTTCCTCCTTTAAGCCACAAAGCCTATGAAACGAAAGTTGATGAGAAGGCTCAAATCATAGAGCATGGCTGCCTTGTTGAAGCCAGGCAGGCTTCCCGCCTCCCAAGGCAGCCCCTGGGGCACCTCGGAGGAACCTCGTTTGAAAACTTCTGCAACAAAAAATTCTCTAGCTTTGCTAAAATCAAAGGTCTGAGGTTTGGAGAAAAGTCCGGGGAAGCCTGTCCAGCACCCTCCTCGCCCTGGCATGGGGAAGGAGCCAGGCTCTGGGAGCAAATTCCAGCTCTGCTCTCATGGGCTGGGCCACCCTGGGCAAGTCACTTTGCCAAGTCTCCGTTTCCTCATCTGAACAAGGGGACAAATCCTTTCCTGCAGGAGTGTTGTGTGACCATCTCTGTAGGGCCCCTGGCCTGATTCCTGATACTTAGAACTTGCTCGGCAAATGCCTGTTGACTGACAGTTCTGCACCCAGGCAGTCTGACTGGGCTGAAATGGGCCCTGGGCAGTGAGCCTTGCTGGGCTGGGTTGGGAGCAACTGGGGTGAGGCGGATACCTGGCTGGCCCGGGGCCCGAGTGGGCTGAGCAGGGCCCAGGCTGGGCTGGGGGGCCCCTCGGCGAGCCCGGCCGTGGAGACCGAGGCTGGGGCTGTTTTTGGCTTTGCCCTGCCACCCGGGGAAGGGGACTGCAGGGCTGGCCACAGGCTCCAGGCTCTTGGGATACTTGGAGTGGCCAATGCCATTGGCTGAAAGGCCCCAGGACTTGGCTCTGATGTTGGTGACTGGCAGCGGGGCCATCTGGCTGGGGCCTGTGGATAAAGCATGGTGAGGCTAAGAAGAAGGGAGTTGGCTGCCGCCTGTCCATCTGTCTCTAGGACCCCTCTGGACTGAGTGAACCCCATCTATCTCCTTAACTCTGCAGGGGTCTCCCCTGTCTTGCTCCAGAGCCTCATTCTGGGCTCTAGGAGAACCCCCCACCAATGAGTCCTTGGGGCCTTTCTCTGAATGCAGGTAGCCACACCCAACCCAGGCCCTAGCCCTGAGAGAGCCATACCTGAGCGGTTGGCAGTGGGGATGGGACTGGGGCTGACACCATGGCCAGGGCCAGTGGAAGGGCTAGGGGTGGGTGAGGAGCAGCAGACGACAGGGCAGGGGTGGCTGGAGCACAGGTCCAAGGTGCGGACAGCGGGCCCTGGGGCTGAGCTGGTCGGGCTGGTGGTCACTGAGGAGGCCAGAGGCTGTATGAGCTGGAGGGGACAGCAGACCCCTGGCCCAGGACACAGCCACCTCCCATCGCATCCCACGCCTGCCCAGACACGCACCCAGCAGCAAAGAGGGCTGTATGCCTGGCAGCCCAGTGGTCACAGGGGACTGTCGGAGCTGAGTGGTCCCAAAGCTCTGGCTGGACCTGCTGGGGAAGGGTGGGCTGAGCTGAGAAGGGCTGGGAGAGCCTGAGGAGGAGGCCCAGGCATCCTGGAGAAGCAGGAGGGCAAGAGGAGGTGGAGAGGGAGGGGGACAGAGGCAGGAAGAAGGGCGGCGGGAGCCACAGGAGGGAGGGGCGCTTGTCAGCACGTACCATGGGCACATGGCCTCACTCCCCCCAGGGTGCTGGGGCCGGAGCAGGGCCAGGAGACAGGAAGTGGACACGGCAAAAGAGCTAAGGGGCAGCAGAGAGGCAAAGGGTGAGAAAGACACAGAGGAGGAGAGAAGAGAAGACACAGTCAGAGGTGACCCTTGGAGCTGGGGTGACAGTGGGCTGACAGAGCCCAAGGCCCTGCCCTGGCCCTCCTTCCTCCCACCCCGTTCGAACTCTGGCCCCTCAGGTGGCCCCCGACTCTAGGCCCAGCTGCCCAGAGGAGCACTGAGCAGGCAAGACAGAAGCCTGGGTGCCAGCAGGGTCCGGGAAGGGCTGCCCACCCTCCTAGAGACCCTCCCGGCCACCCCCAGAAGCCAAAGCAAGCTGAGAGCCCGAAGTTGAACCTCTCCGGAGGAGACAGCCTCCATGGCTCCTCTGACCTTGGGCTGCCCACCACAGCCCCACCTGGTCTGGTGGCTTGGCCAGAAGCCAGGCCTGCAGTGACGTACCCATCAGCGTCTACCAGGTCCTCCTCGGTGCGCAGGCTCAGCACGTACAGTGTGGACATGGACACCACACTGGGAGTCACAGAAAAGGGTCACTGTTAGAGCTGAAGCCACCATCCAGTGCCCCGTCTCCAGGCCAGGCCTGTGGTCCTTGGCCCTAGCACTGGGCTCCCAGGTGATGCCTGCAAATGGGTGTCCCCAGCCCCGGGGGTGGGAAACAGAACGAGGCCCACCTTCCCCGAGACCTCAGCCACTTGAGCTCCCAAACTACGTCTTCCTTCTCCCCCAGGCCTGGGCCCATGGGCAGCTGACCCCACTGGGTAGCTCAACTCTTGGAGTCAGCCACCCCCAGGGCCTGGGGGACAAGTCACCTGAAAGCCATGACCACCACCAGGGCGATGATGGTTCCCTGCAGGAAGCGCTGGCTGATGCAGGCCTGGTCTGGAACCACAGATGATGCCTGAGGACCAAGAGGAAAAGGGGAAGACACAGAAGAGGGCCATGGCCTTACCCGCCATGGGCTCTGCGGGAAGTGGGATGCTAAGGGCGACACCGCCCCCAGGGGCAGAGGGAGAGGAAGGAGAAAGTGGGGGCTGGGAGGCCCACAGGGTTGGGAGGAGAGGGGAGAAGCACCAGAGTCAGTGTGGCCGGAGAGGTGCGAGCTGGGAGGGGGCCGTGAGGGATGGGAAGCCCGGGTCCAACCTGTCTCCCTTCCCTGCCCACCCTCACCTTACTGGCCACCTTGGGGGGCCTCTTCTTGTGGGGGACACTGCCCGCCCGGCTGAACTGGCTCCCTGCGTGGCTGCAGCAAGAGTGCCAGGGTCAGGGGTGCTCTCGGAAGGGGGGTCTCCCCCTCCCCCACGCAAGCCCCCACCTGAAGGCGCCCGAGCTGCCGGTGGACTTGAGGCTGTCGAGTCGCCGCAGCTTGGCCAGCTTGTGGCTCCAGCGCTCCAGCTCGTCGATGCGCGTCTCCAGGTTGTCGGTCAGCTTGCACAGCTCCTTCACGGCACCCACGTTCTCCATGAAGATGCGCTCCTGTCCAGGGCCACGGGCCAGCACCCAGGGCACGGTCAATGCCGGGAGCCCCTGGCTGCCAGCCGCCAGGCAGCAGGAGGGGAGCCCCTCTATCCACGGCTGCACAGAGGCCTTAAAGCCTCCCTACCTGGGCCGGCCCCTCCTCACACAGCTCCCGTGCCTGCGTCCAAACAGCGTGCCCCAGCTGTCCCACCTGCCTGGACGGCCCTCCCACTCCCTGCCAGAATTCTCTGTGCTCAGAGGCCGCCCAGGCCTGAAGCCTCCAGCCCTCAGATCTGCCCCCTCTGATGACAATGGCATCTCAGACTCAGCACGCCACTGTTCAGTTGAGGTGGAAACGTATCACGTTTCTCCTTGGTGCCCAGCCTCTTGCCAGGTACGTTGCAAACATCACCCCCACAATAAGCCACATGGTTAAGCCTTGAGATAACCAATGGGAGGGTCTCAGCACTTCTATCATTGCCCTTGTTTCACCTGCGGTGGGGGGAGGCCATGAACCTCAGCGAGGTTCCTCTTGCCATTGGCCAAAGCCTCCAGTGGCTGAATCCCCACCCACGCACTCCATTCCCTGTGGGGGGAGGGGACAGCGCCCTGGAGGCAGCATGAGAGGACACAGGGCTGCTCTGGCCTCGCTATGGAGGAGATGAGCCCCCCAGCCTGCCCGCCCCTCCCCAGCTCCCTCCAGTCCCCCACCCGCGGACCTTGTTCACCACCAGGAAGTTCTCTATGGTTTTCCCGTTGGCAAAGACCATGTCCCCAGTGTCCTTCACAGCCTCGGGCAGGATCTCCTTCACCTCCTGAGCGATGACACCTGGTGAGGGACAAGCCCAGCATGTGTGTGTGGAGCAGGGACACTGCTTCACACCTCTCTAATGTGAAGAGGGGTGGATTGGGGAGGATGACGTTCCAGGGCCTAGAGATTTGAATTCCAAGGAGCCCTGGAGCAAGGGGCTCCCATGGACAACTGCTCACAGGGTCACAATTCCAGGGCTCAAGTGTAGAGTTCCCAGGCTGGGGTGGGGCAGGTTCCTGGCAGTGAGGATCCCAGGGGAAGGGGCAGGGTTCCGAGAGGTTGAAGGCAAGATTCACCTAGAGGGCCCCAATTCTCAGACTTCCAGTGTCCAGGAGTAAGGTTCCAGGGACCTGGGAGGCACGATTTTCCAGGGGCTAAGGGGCGGGTCTTGTAGAGGGCAGGATTCCGGTGGGTGGAGTTGCAGGCGTCGAGAGGAGGGGTTTCTGGGAGTGTGATTTCCAGGAGACAGGGCGCGGGGTCACGGAGGCCTGAGGTTACTGGGTTCCCTGACCCCAGTGCGTGCCAGGTGGGTCCCTACCCGTCTCTGGTGCGGCGGCCTCGATGCCCGCGCTGGCTGCGAACTCGGGCTTGTATCTGTAGTGCACCAGCCGCATGCGCGAGATCCTCTTCAGCTGCTCCGTGGTGTCCACCTGCAGTGGGCCAGGGCCGAGACTGAGCCCCTTCCCTCCTGCGGCCGTGCACAGCAGGCCCCCGAGCCCGGGACGGCAGCCAGAGGCTGCAGTGTGCGGGGCAGACCCAGCTACCCGGGTTGCAAGATCGAGATCCAGGGTCGGCCCGGGCAGCCCCGCCCCTCCACCTGGCCCCGCCCCCTCTGCAGCCCCCCCCCCGCCCAGCCTCCAGTCCCGCCCACAGCCCCGCCCCGCTCGTAGGCCAGCTCTCCCTGTCCCCACCTCCTGCACGTGCTCCTTGGCCCGCAGGTCCGAAGGGTGCATGAGCGAGCCCATGACCTTCACATTGCCATGCACAACCAGCGCCTCGTCCGGCCGGTCTGTGTTGATGCCCACGCGGCCGTGGTGGAAGACTGTGTCAGGTACCTGCGCCCGCTGCCACAGCACGTCGCTGTCGCTCTCAAACTGGCCTGGGTTGGAGGCCTACCGCGAGTTCGGGCTGGATCAGTCCTGGGGCATAGGGGACCTGCAGGGTCCTGGGATTGGGGAAACCCCACAGCCTCCCCTCCTGGTTCAGCCAGGCTTCTCACCCCATCATGCCCAACTTAAACTGTCCCTCCCATTGTGACAATTTTTAGTCACTTGTGAGATCCCAGAAGCTACCAGGTTTTGTCCACCTCCATGCTTTACTGTGAGGCAGATACTGCAGCCCAGAGAGGGTGGAAGCTTTGCCCAAGGCCACACAGCCAGGGCCCAGCAGGATCAGCACTCCTGCTGCTGACTCCCCAGCATCCTGGTATTTCTCCTGGGTGCTGCTTCTCCCAGCTCTGGGGAGGACTCTACCCCGTAGGGGGAGGCGGCCCTCACCCGCACGATGATGCGCTCTGAGATCTGGGCGGCCAGCGTGTAGTTCTGGTTCTGTGCGTGGGCCTGGAGGGCCACCACCAGCATGAAGTACCTGGAACACACAGGGGTCTCAGAGGCACCCAGGGTCCCGCGCCCCAGCCACCCCTCCTGGCCAGGTGCACAGTGGACACACTCATGCACCCCATCCTACAGAGGACCCGAGTCTCCACTAGGGGGCAGAAAGCCCCCAGGGCCCTCAGCTAGGGAAGCCACTGAGCTGTTTCTCAACCCAGAGGTTAAGCTTCTGCCTTTCCACCCTTGAGTCAATTAAGGGCTCCGAATCTCAGGTCCCTCATCTGTGAATGGGCCAGTCTGTGGGACTCTGTGCCTGACATGCCACACGGGGTGGTGTCTTCCCAGCCCTCCTCTTCGGAGTGGAGGGCCCAGGCAGGGGTCCAGCCGCTCACCTCTGGTCAGGGTTGGGCTTGCCCTTCTTGCGCATGTTGTTGGCAGTGGTCTCGCTGAAGTGCAACCGCCCCACAGTCACCTTCGTGACCTGCTCAGGGGGCAGATTGACCCTGCAGAAAAGGGACAGGGTGCTCAGGGGGCAGGGAGGGAGGCTGCCAAGACCCAGGCCAGCAGCATGTAGGAGGTGGATGCTGTGGGTGCCTGCCTGGCCCCTCTGTTCCCGAGCCAGCTCCAGGGCGGGCCCTTCAGGTACCACCACCCCCCCACCGCCCGCAGGGTCAGACACTCACGTGACGGGGTTGAAGGGCCGCTTGCTTCGGTCTGACTGCGACTGCTCGATGTTAATGGACTGGTTCAGGGCCTCCAGCTGGCGGGGAGTGGAGCCCAGTGGAACCTCAGGACCCACACTCCCCACCGCCCTCCTTCGCCTTCTCAGCCCAGGCCGGCCCAGCTGGAGCTCACAGCCAAACGCAGCGCCCTGCCCTCAGCTTCACTTCCCAGGAGCCCCGGTGCCTTCCCCCACATGACTGTGCACCCCACGCACACCCCCTCGCAGCACTCCACTCCTCCACGCTGACGGGGACGCACCCACCACCCCCCACGCACCCACACCCCTTACAACCACACCCACACACTCACACGCACACACACACCCCTCGTCACGTCCACACCCACCACTCCTCCCACATGCACACCCACCCACACCACGCCACTCGGTCCCCACAGTGGGGGGTGACTTTGTGCCCGTGAGCCCCCTGGGGTTGTGGCCAGGTCTGTGGGCTTCATGTCGTGAGTCAGCCTGGCTGGCACGCTGGCACGGCTCCGCCAGTGCTGTGAGTGGGCACCAGAGCTGTGCGGCACAGCAAATGGCAGGGCTGGAGCCCCACGGCCCTGGGGTCTCAGCTTAGAAGCCGGGGCTCTGCTGGGAGGACGCCGGGGGCCTTGGAAGGATGGGGAGTGTCGTGGTCACCTGCATCCCAGGTGGAGCATGAGTTGGGGGCCAGAGTGGAAGCTGCTGTGGACATTCAAGCGAGAGGGTGGTGACCCGGGCAGGGGAGAGGCAGAGGAGAGGAAGGGACCAGGTGGAGGAGCCTTCCAGGGCAACAGCAGGGCCAGGTATGTGACGAGGGAGGTGGGGGTTGTGGCGTGGGTAACCAAGGCGATGGGGCCCCATTCCCTAAGAGGGAGCTGGGGGGAGGAGTTTGCAGGGAGTTTACTTGGGGACCTGGAGCTGAGACAGCTGATAGAGGGGGCAGGAGATGGGTCTTGGCAGGGGATGCAGACTTAGGGTCCACAAGGTAGAGCAAGAAACAGGGAACAAGAGGGAGAGAGAAAGCTGAGGGGTCTGCCTAGGGGCAGGCACCGGGAGAAAGGCAGTTGGATTTAGCTGTGGGGAGCGTCCCCTGCCACACACGCCCACACACACACCCACACACACGCCCACACACACGCCTTGGGGTCTTGCAAGGCTCCGGGCCCTCCTGACCTCCCCTCCTTCTGAGCCCCAACCTGCCTTCACTCCATGCAGCTTCAGGTAGAAGCAGTCAAGGGGCTTGAGGCCTTCGGGCGTCTTGACGTACTTGGGCTCGCCCAGCATGCCGACGTACACCGTCACCTGGAAGTGGTTCTTCTTCTGGCACACGAAGGCGTCGTCGCCCACCGAGAAGTTGAAGCCCTTGTCGGCGTCCACGCGGTAGGTGAGCATGGGCCTGGGAGCGGGAGAGGCACTCACCCCGGGGCCTGAGCCAGTCCATCCCACCTGCCCTGGTTCCAGAGCGATTTCCTGTCCCAAACCCAGGATCCTCACACCACCAATGGGGCTGGCCCCACTTCTTAGAAATGGCAACGGAGTCCCCGAGAAGATCCGAGCACAGGTCCACCAACTCCTCAGCCAGTGTCCTTTCCTCTACTTCCTGCCTGGGGCCACCGCCCTGCCCTGGTGATGGGGACGCAGGGCAAGGCCCTTGAGGCCCACCAGACAGGAGGGAACTGCTGAGGAGGGGCTTGACGGCCCCTCCCAGAAGGCTGCCTGGAGCCCCCTCCCTCGCGGGAGATGGGGTGAGAGGGGCTGCGTCTGCAGAGGCTCAGGGTGCCTGACAGCTGGTTGCCCTGGAAACGGTGGAACCAGGTGCCGGCTCTGCCGCAGGCCCAGCCGCTGCCCACCGGCTTGCTCAAGCCCGGGGCACCTCTGGACCCACCCTCACACACAGCCCCAGTTTGCCCCTCTGTTGCTGGGGACAGCGTCCCAGGCCCAGCCCCACTGGGGGCCTCTAGGTGGCAGGGAAGAGGGCAGTTGTTGACTCATGGCTAGCCCACCCTCAGCCGGGTGCCCAGGCACAAGCGTGGTCACAGGAGCGCCCTTGCCTGCCGGGAAGCCGGGCAGGGAGAATGCTTCTGAGCCTGTGGGAAGAGGCCTTTGGGCCTGGCTAATGCCTCGGGAAGGCCTGGGCTCATTACCTGTCCCCACCCGGGCTCTGCACACCTGCCAGACCTAGCAAAGCACCCAGGAAGTGCCTAGGCCACCCTGGGTGTCGCAGCTGCCAGCTTCCTTGCCTTGCGGCCTGGGGTGGCCCAAGCCCAAGAATAGGTGGGTTCCTCCATGCTGGGGGGTCATGACAGGACCTCAGGGGACCCTATCCCCCACCCCCAGCCCTGGGGACTTCCAGCTAGGCATCTCGCAAAGCCTGGGGTGCCCCACTCTAAGAGGCTGGTCTCAGCCACTGTTCTTGTGAGAAGGCAAGTCCCAGCCACCTGGCCTGTGCCTGGCAATGGCCACAGTGGGGTGAGGGGAGTCACCTCTACCCTGCCCACTGGCATTCTGGGGGAGTGGTCCCCACGGGGCTCCTGACCTGGGGCCTGGGCAGCTGTGGCCACATGGGTGTTGAGGGAGAGCTAGGAATGCCCAGGCAGCCTGTGACCCGTCCTCCCCACCCCTCTGCCCTCCCTCCAGGGCCGGCCCTGCTTACACTCAGCTTCCGGCTACCTTCCTGGAATGCAGGAGGAGGAGGAGAAAGAGGAGCCAGGAAACACCCATCCGCCCACTTCTCCCTGACTTGGTTCCCGGCCACCCTGGCAGGCACCACCTCCTCGGGGAGCCTAGGGCTGGCCTTGGTCAGGCCCCTGGGGGCCAGGCCTAGCTCTTCCCTGAGCCTGTTTGCCCTTCTGGGGCCATCTTGTACCCAGTGTGCTCCCAGGCCCTGCTCTAGGGCCTCGATGGGGTCCTGGGCTGGGGTGGCCCAAGATGGGGTGGCCAGGGTAAGCGGAGAGTGGCACAAATCACTCACAGCTCCTTGTAGTTGGCATCGTACAGGGTCGCCCACTTGTTCTGCTGATGTGGCTGCCACTTGATGGACTGGTAGTTGGGGTCCAGGTAGGAACCACTGAGGCTATCATTGTCCTGTAGGAGGCCTAGAGGGAGGGAACGCCCATGTGGGCCCTGCGCCCTGCCCCACTCCCCAACTAGAAGGGAGGTCAGCCACCTCACCTGGGGAGGGTGCGCCTGGTGGGTGCCAAGGCGGTGTCTGGACCCGGGCGATGCTGAGGGGCAAAGAGCCGGGCCCCGGTGAGAGCGGGCCCTGGGGAGGCCAGGGTGGGGACGGGGCTCGAGCGGGGTGTGGGGGCAGGGCTGTCACGGTCCCAGGCTCCTGTTTGATCATTCCATTCAGCATCTGGGCATTGAGGGTGCTGGGGGGTGACTCGGAGTGCTTCCTCTTCTTGGAGGGGTGTGTGGGGAGCCTGGGGGGACAGAGGTGTGTGCCATGGGGGCTGGCCCTCCCTGAGCCCCTCCCACTGGGCAGGGCCCATCCCTCCCCCTCCCCCAACTCCATCCTGTTTGGGCAGGAGATGCCCAGCCCAGCGGACACCTCCTGCAGGAAGCCCTTGGGCTCTGCCCCCTTGGTGCTCCCCTCATGGCTCAGTGTTGGCATTCTCCGTTCCATCACTCAATGAATGAGTGAGTTGGTCCCTTCCTTCAGTGTCACTCTCAGTGTCACTCTTTACAGTGGGGCTCTATGGAGAGTGGCTCCCGTGGCTAGAGACAAGCCACCAAGGGCCTGGGCCACAAAGCCAGGGAAGGAGAGCTTCCTGGGGCAGGGGGTTCACGGGGCCGGCACAGCACCCCTCTCTTCTGGTTTACAAAACATCCTGACAGTAGAATCTTCCCTTGAACTAAATCTCTCATGAAATCCCCATACACAGAACAGATAAAAAGACAATGGTGCAGGTGAAGTCAGAGTGGGAACCTTGGATCCAGGCCCAGAACCTTCTCGGGAACCCAAGGGCTCCTTGAGACCCCCAGAAAGTCGCTGGTGTCTGGGTAAAAGCACAGCCCAGGGTCCAAGTCCTGGCTCCGCCCTTCCTAGTTCCTGACCTGGGCATGCCATTTCCCCTCTCAGAACCTCAGTTTACCTACATACCCACCAAATAAGGCAGTTGTGAGCCATCGCCCTGGCTGTAAGTCCCCCAAGATACTCTGGACACGTGTGTATAAATATGTTGTCCCTCGACCTGCCCTGCAGAGCCTTCTGCCCTCCCAGGGCTCGGCCCCATCCCCACCTCTATCCCTGGCCTGCCTGCTGCTGCCCTGATGCCCCCAAACCGTATTCCCACCCTTGGGTGGCAGCTGCCCGTCTTACTCAGCTCCATGTTGCTGCAGCAGCTGGTGCAGCATCTGGGACTGCTGGGTGTGGTGCAGATCGGTGGGCACCAGCCCCTGCCCCATGGCAGCGTAGGGGGGGATCGGGGGCTCGGCCTTCATGTACAGGTCCCGCTGCAGGATGGGGTAGTGAGGTGGGGGCGGCGGGGGTGGCGGGGGGCCTGGCAGGTGGGCTGCAGGTGGGGGTGGGTGCTCCAGGCGGGAGGGCACTCCCACGTGGCACAGGGTCTCAGGGGTTATCGTGCGCAGAAGGTGGGGGTCTGCGGGAAGATGGGGGTGGGCATCAGAGACTGACCTTACTCAGGTTCCCAGGCACCGGCTGCCCCTACCAGGGTCTCCTGCTTCCAGCTCCTCCTGAGCCAAGCCCAGGGGCTGCCTGGGAGTCTGGCTGGGCTCGTGGCTCAGGAGGGGGTTGGGCAGCCAGTGACTAGAAGCCTGGGCAGGGAAGCAAGACCTGGTCCAGGGGGTGGGTGTCCCTTCACCCCATCCCGACCAGTTCCTTCCCCAGGCCAGGCCCAGCTCCCTGGGGGGATCTGAGCCAAATCCCAGGGTCCCCCGAGTCCCCCAACTCCCTCCATGCCTGATCTTCCTCTGGGCCTCAGGAAGGAGTCTCCGAGACCCCCAGCCCAGTCCCTAACCGGCTCCTCCCTGCCGCAGCCCCTCTCCTGGGCTCCCAGGGGCCAGTCCCCCAGCCTGAGGGGGGAGGCCCCAGCTCCCTTTGTTCCCCAGGAGGCATTCCAGGGATGTTTTTGGTAAGATAAACAGAACTCTTGACCCCTTTCAGGGCTGCCTGTGGTGGTTCTGCTCTTGGCCACCTGGGGGCTGCTGCACCCCCTCCGAGGTGAGGCGGCCGACTGCAAGGCCTGGGCTCAGGCTGCACCCATGGCCGTCCCCAGCCGTCCACTTACCGCTGAAGGGCACATCCATGATGGCGCAGGCGGGCAGGCGGGTGGCATTGCCGGCAGGGACACTAGCTCAGCGGCAGGGCCAGGCTCCCCACCCGCCCGTGGGGAAACAATAGCCAGCGCCGGGGAGTATTTGACCAGCGATAATCTCGCCCGTTGGGCAGCCGCTGGCCCCCTCCCGCCCTCCCCGATAAGGCCGCCCCAACCACTTGCCCAAACCCCGGAGGGGGAGGGCGGTGCCCGCTGGACTCACCATTCACCTGCTGCGGGGAGTAGGCCTCAGAGCCCGAGTCCGGGGGCGAGTCCGGCAGTGTGCTGTGGGAGCCGGAGGGAGGGCTGGGGTGACCAGCAGGGCCCTGCCTCACACCCGGTCAACACCTCTGCGTGGTGGGGTCTCCTGGCACCCACCGTTAGCGGCATTTCTCTGTACCACCCACCTGGGGTGCTTGGCAGGGCCTGGGGCTGAGTTGTGGGTGGGGGGCCCTGGGTCCTGCCCAGGAGCCCCTTGGACCTACTGGACACTGGGGGCCAGTTACTAGTACCCCTCATGATGGCACAGGGATTCAAGGACTCCCGCCCCAGACCGAGGGGCTGGGCCTGCTCCTCCCTCCTGCGCCCACTGAAGCCCTGCGGCTTCCTGGAAATGTGAGGCCCTGGGGCTGGGCCTGGGAGGGTCAGTGGGTCACTGGGGGTGCTGCCCTGCCAGAGGCAGGTGTGGGCTGGGCAGAGGGCCAGCGCCGCCAGGCCTGGATTTATTTTTTTCTTGTAGGTTTTATTTTATCAGTGGTTCAGGAAAAAGACAAACTCAACCCAAGAGGTCAACGCGTCCTGCATGAGCCCTCTGCTTGCCCAACAAGGGGCGGCTGCAGCCATGCAGGGTCCATCTCCGTGGCCATCCCTGGTGCCCACATCTGGAAAGACTCCCCACTCCCCACCCAGAGAGTTAGCAGAAAGGCTGCCACACTGTCATGGACACAGCCCTGGGCTGGTTCCAGAGTCCCAGTGTGCCCTGGACAAGCCACCCACCCACCTTTGGGGCCTGGAGTATAGACCTAAAAAAGGATTCAAGAATATGGACCCGTCAAGCAGAACCTTGGAGGTAAAAAAAATAAATTAAAAAAAAAAAAAAAAAAAAGAATATGGACCTTGCAGACTTTGTGAGGATGACACAAAAATGTGGACAGGGACTCAAACCTACACTCCTCCTGCCCCCTCCCTGCACTTCCCTGACATTGGCCTTGGGTTTCTGTATGTGTCAGGGTCTGTCACACTCTCCATCCCTGCAGTCAAACACCCAAGTCCATAGGACCTTGTGTTCCTTCCTCATACGTTCCTCTGGCTTCCCATTATTGCCCCGTTCGGTGATGTATTGATTAGAAACTCTCCCCCAAGCTGCAGGAGGAATGTCTGTCTTATTTATCACCTACACCTTGGCCTGGGCCTGGGTCCTCCCCCCTGAGCCTCACTGCACCCCCAGAATCCCGGGCACTGGTTCCTAGAGAAGGCTGAGCTCACGCGGACAGCCATGTGATGTGGTGGCAGGCGCTTAGCAGGCACCTGTTGAATGTTAATTTTCCTCCCTTGGCCCTCAGGAGGTCTGTGGCTTAGGGACAGCCTCATGGCCTCAAGGTCTGCCTTCTGCAGCAAAGTTCACGCTGGCACCCTGGGCCTGGCCTCCACTACCATTGCTCTGTAAGGCAGGGCGCAGGAAACGCTCCCGGCCACCCAGTACTTCCTCTGTGCACACCCCCACTTACTTCCAGGGTAAGCATTTGGGGTTCGCTTTTCAGATGAAGAAACTGTGGCCCTGATGGAGGTTATGGGTTCCCAAGGCAGAAGGGGCTGGGGCTGGAGCCAGGCTTTCTGCACCTAGCACTTTATTATTCGTCCACCCAGAGATGGGCGCCCTTGCCCTGGGCTAGGCAACCCAGGGCTTTCTCCACGCTGCTCTGCAGAGCCCAGCAGAACTGTGCTGTCTTCCTCGCAGTGAGCGCCTGCCGGGGAATGCCCTGGCTCAGGTGCGGAAGGGCCTGGGAGGAAGAGCCCTGCCTGGGACGAGTCCCTGGCTCCCCGGGGCTTGCATGGGTGGGGGATCTCGTCAGCTAGATGCACAAGTGAGTGGGGGCCGGCACGGCGAAGGGTGTCTGGGTGCCCCGCGTGTGTGCACGTGTGCGCACGTGTTCCATGAAGGCAAACAGTTGTGGCCTGCAGTCCTGCCCCTTCCCGTCCACTCTCCACACAGCTCTCAGAGATTCTTCTAGCACTTACGTCAGCCCTCAGCACTCCCCTGCTTAGAACCCTGGTGGCTGCCCACTGCCCCAGAACAAAGCCCATGAGTCCCTCCACCCTCTCCTTACCTACCCACAGGGAGCCTATCACCCCGGCCCTTCCCACTGCCAGGCTGGCAGCCAGCACCTCCCAGGCCACGGCCATGGCCCACAGCCTGCCTGCCCCTGGGCCCCTGCACCCCCACTCCCTGCCCTCACTCACCCTGGGGCATAGGGAGCCTTGGGCTCTGCCTTGATGGGGGGCCCAGAGCCCCCCAGGAAGGGCTTGGGAGCAGCACCCATGCCGTTGTTGTTGTTGCAGTTGAGCGGGGCACCGTAGCTCGGGGGTGGGAGGGGGCCATGGCGTCCCGGGGAGGGTCCACCCCCAGGGGGGCTCAGGTGGTGGACCCCGCTGGAGCCAGGGATCGCTGGCTGCCCGTGGGAGTAGGAGGCCGCATTGGCGGGCGCAGAGATGTCAGGGAAGCAGCTGCGGACAGAGGGGAAGCTCAGCCCCAGCTAGGCCCCCAGGCCTCCGGGAGGCAGCCTCCCCCACCCCCACGGAGGCTGCAGAGGAGTCCGTGGCTGGGAAAGGATGGGGAGCAGCTTCAGAGGTGGGACTGCGCCAGCCCCCGGTCCTGCCCTCACACTTCCCAGGTGAGGCTTGGAGGCCAGAGGGGCTGGGGCTGGTCCCGGGGCAACTCACAGGTCGGAGGCGTCCTCCTTGCTGATGTATTCCTCCAGGATGCTGGTGTCTATGTTGGAGGGCTCCAGGGCACCGTTGATGTCGTGGCCTGCGGGGCAGGGGAGGTGAGCCAGGGAAGGGGTCTGGCTCCGTAGGCCTCTGGGCGCAGCCCTCCGTCCCCACCCAGTTGGGCCCTCCAAAACATACGCCCCCAGCCCTTCCCATCTGGGTATCCAAGTGGGGGTGGGTCCTCCACCCTCTACCACCTGACACCCATCCAGGAGCCCACAAGGCCACCTCGGGTCTCCAATGAGGGGAGAGGCCCAGAGCATGGATCTGGGGCCAGAGAAGCCAATCCTGCCCCACCATGCTCCCTTCTAGAGCCCCTGCCCCTCGTCTGTAAAGTGGGGTTACTGTCCCTCTATCTCATGGGGTGCTGCGAGGAGCACACAGGTGCTTTATGGAGCGGAGTGCCCAGTGGGTGCCCACCAGCCGTGATGGCCGAGACCCAGCACGGACAGGCCAGCCCAGCCTCCAGCAGTCAGTTCCAGATGGCCCAGCTGCAGCACGCGGGAGCACGAGGCCTAGCTGGGTGGGACCCCACATCCGGGAGACCCATGGGGCTGGGGGGCCTCCTGCACCCCAGGCCCCAGCTGCAGGGGGGAGTGGGGATCAGGATTGAGAGGGCCCAGCCTACCCCATCTCCCAGAGGAGGCAGAGGCTGGCTCGGGCCTCACTGGCTCGGGCCTCGCAGCAGGGAGCTGTAGGAGCCCTGTCCTGGGCCCTCCCGCTGGCCCCAGCCCCATGATGGGGAGGGGCTCACGGAGAAAGGGCGGCCCAGTGCTCTTGGGCACCATGAGGGGAGGAGGGGAGGAGAGGAGGCGCTGGCCTTTCCCCTCCCAGGGTCACCTTGCTAGGGGAGCCAGAGGGCGGGGTGATAAGGGGGCTGACGTGGGAGCTTCGTCAGCCCCGATAATGGAGGACAGCCCCATCCACACTGCTCACCCGGGCTGGCCAGCTCCACTGAGGCAGGAGGGCCCCTCCCGCAGGCCTCTGGAATCTGGGGTCTGCCCTCATGCCCCTTCCCTTTTTGAGACCTGGAACAGAGCTCATACAGGTCCAGGAACACATTCTGGCTCAGCCACTCCCCGCTGTGTGGCCTTGGGCAGGTCACATACCCTCTCTGAGCCTCAGTCTTCTCCTTAGTAAAATGGAGACATGAACAGCTAACACTTCACAGGGCTGTTGTGAGTATAAAGTGAGGTAAGGTCTGAAAAGTGCCCGGCACACAGTGGGTGCTCAGCAAATGGAGTGGCTGTCCTCATGTCCCAGTCCCCAGAGCCCTGGGGTCCCTGTGAGCCCCCTGCCCAGGCCCCTCCCTGGCCCTGGCCGGCATTTCAAGAATGCTGAGCCCCGCTTAGGTGATTAATGAGCGGCTAAGCCCTCTGAGGAGTCACGCGCTGCCTGCGACAGGCCAGAGCCCTCCTGCTGTCCCCCACCCCCAGCTTTCTAGCTGGGGACAAGGGACACCCATCAAGCACCACCGGTGGCTGTCCAGGGCCCCAAGTGACCAGGGCAAGGGGAACTCTTCGAGCTGGAGTGACCAGCCTGCATGCCAATGCTCCAGGGCTCCCGCCCCCGCTCCGGCCCCCACCCTGTCCTGCTAACCACAGTTCCCATTTATTGAGCGCCTACTGTGTGCCAGGCACTCTTTGAGCCAAGTATATTAATAGCCATAGGAGCTTATCACATGCAAGGCATCCTGCAGCCTCTTCACGTGCAGTGTGTCACTTAATCCCACCATCCCATGATGGTGACCATGACAGTGAGAGTGACGGTGATGGTGGCTCATACGGAGTGCCTACCAGTGCTCTCCAGCACATAGTGGTGACAACGATGACAGTGACAGTGACCAGGGCTCACACCAACTGAGTGCCTACCAGGCCCGGCCCTATCCTAAGTGCTTTTCACCCGTGAACTCGGTGTCATCATAGCCATCAGCACCGTTCCCAGAGGTCAAGTCTCTCGCTCGAGGCAGCACAGCAAGGAGGATTCAAACCCAGCTGCAGGGGCCGACGTTAAGAGGTAAGGTGTGGCTGGTGGCTGCCTACCTTCCCTGGCCTACCTAGGCTATCCCACCTGATGTGCTGGAAGGTTCCTGAGGGAGGATCAAGCCCCGGAGTGGGGAGGGAGGGGTACTGGAGCATCACCCCCACCCCAGCTGCTGAAGCTGCAAGTTTCTGAGACTGAACTTGAAACCTACAGTGAGTGATGGGCTGATGCAGTCATGGCCTTGCTATTTATAACAGCCCAGCCCCCTCCTCTCTTTCTCCTCCTCCTCCCCCAGCCAGGAGCACTCCTAATCGCCCCTAATCCTCCTGCCCACCTCCCCCGGGATGGGGGCCTCAGGCAGAGGCACCCTGGAAGACCCTAACGAGAACCAGATGTGGTTGGGGGGAGGAGGGACCCTCCCGTGCCAGGGGCCGGGGCGGACGGAGGAGGGAGGAGGGAGCTGATGGGGCAGGGTGGGGGTGGGCCAACCGGTGGGGGGAAAGTTTGGGGGCTTGGAGGGCCTCCTGAGGAACGCCGATCCCGCACTGTCTTCTCCCTGGAGGCCTGCCTCGACTTCTCCCTGCCCAGACACCAGGCAGGGCCCCGGCCTGCCCTCCAACCACACTGGAGATTCCTAACGACCACTGCGGAGCCCAGGGACTGCTGAGGCTGGAGCAGAGCCCCAGGAATCCAGGGTGGGACAGGGTCCCCTGCGACCCCACCGTTCTCCCAACAGAGCCCTAAAACACCACTGGATTCCAACAGCGGGGACCTGCCAGGCAAGAAGCCAGGCAAGGGACACATGTCTTATTCTGATCCTCAAGACCTCCTGAGCAGAGGCCAGGCAGGGCCTGCCAGAGACTGCCCAAGGCCCAACAACCAGGAAATGGCTGGCTGACCATGAGGTCACAAACCAGCATCTCTTTTCTATCCCTCCTCAAACCCTTCAACAACTTGCCACTGCTTGGATAAACCCAGACCCTCCAGCAGGCCAAGGCCTGGCACGGCCCCTCCACGGTCCAGCCCCTGCCTCCCTGCCCACCCCCAGCCCACATCAGGGCCTTTGCACATGCTGTTCCATGCTGTTCCCGGCCAGAGAAAGCCGATTCCCTTTCACTCTAGGTTGTTCTGGATTAAATGTAAACTGCCCCAAGAGGCCATCTCTGACTCTCCCCTTCTCTTCAGGGGGCCCATTCTACTTTCCCCTTACTCTCCTGCCAGCACAGACCTCCCTGGGCAGGGTGCCTGTCGGTCCCCCACCTGCCCACTGTCCATGCTTGCTCACCAAGTGACCACTCTGTGCCCAGCCCCATACCAGGTCCTTTACACGGCTCGTGTTGAATTCTCATACCAGCCCTACAAAGGTGATTTTCTTTTTCCCCATTTCACAGATAAGGAAACTGATGCTCAGAAAGCCTACAGGGGCGGGAGCTGGATTAGGAGCACTGTCCTATTCTGTCTCTCTAGGATATGAGTATCCCAGCAAACAGCAGGCACCCAATAAATGTTCATGGAATGAATGAGCCAAGTGCCAGCAGGAGACTGGAGCCAGGCCTGCGAGGTCTGGGGACCTCGGCCAGGCCATGCTGAGGTCAGGGTCCAGGGCTAGACAGGGCCCCTCCAGGTACCGCCCCGGCCCCAGCCACTCCTCATTAATTAGGCCCTTTATTACCTGCCTTCAACAGGAGCCAGAGACAGCCCCTCCTGGGGCAGGCTGGGGTCCCGGCTAGGGGGAGGTAGCCCCCTCCCCTCCTCTCCTTCCTCCCTCTCCTCCCTTTAGGGCCACCCAGCTAGGCAGGAAAGGGGCCCAGGGCACCCAAGCCAGGTGTGGGAAAAGAGTGGGTGGGGGCCCAGGTGGTCCCTCCACCCTGGACCCCTCCCTCCCACCCTCCTCGTGCTCATCCCTCCCCACCAGCTGTGCCCGCTGGCTGAGTCTCGGCCATTGTCCCGGGGGACGGGGGAGGGTGGGGACCCGGCACAGTGGGAGGCTTGTGCCCTGCCCACCCCCTCCCTGCCCCGTCAATGGGGCACTTGTCAATTCATGCCCCAAACATGGCGGAAATCCCGTCAGCCACGTGGCTGTGGGCAGGGTGGGCCAGGGCCTGAGGACGCTGGCCAGGCCTGGGTGATCCGAACCTGGGGTGCACAGGGCACCAGGGCCCACGCCTGTCCTCTGAAGACCCCAGCTGCCCTGCGCGTCCAGCCCAGGCACCTGAGCATGCCTGACTCCGGGCAGTAGCCAGGGACCAGTGTGGTGGTGGCCAGGGGCTGCCCACCTTGGCATCCCTACGGTGCCCTGAGAGACCCCCCGAGGCTTCTAATGGACCCCCACTCCCCTCCTGTGTGAGCCTCAGCAGTTGACCTGACCTCCTGAGCCTCGGCTGCCTTCGCTATCAAGGGGAGCATGATCCCTGCGTCGTGGGGTGGTCTCGAGCCTTGAATGTTGAATGAGGCGACACTCCCAGGAGGCTACTCTTCAGTCGACGATTGCTCTGCTTCCGTCTCTCTTGGAACTGCCATCCCCTTTCCTGCCCTCACACCTCTGCCCAGGCTGTCCCGCTCTGCCCCGCCTCTCCGCCCTGCTGCACGTCTGCACCGAGCCCCCCTCTGAGGCATGACCAGTACTGTATGTGCACATGCGTGGCACAGCCCAGCCCCCACGCCTTGGCCCCCGCCATCCCCTGCAGTGTAGCCTTGTGTGACTGCCTCCCTGCCTGCCTAGGCAGCCCCTCCCCAGTCGCCACAGTCACAGAGGGCCCCCAATGCTGTGGCTCGCCTCCCAACGTCGTGGACTGAGCTAACCAACGTGCTCCAAACAAGTTCACAATGGGGCAAGGCACGGTGGGCCCTCACCTCCTTCGGTTTGGATTTTCTATCTTTATTAATATGATCTGTAACTGATAGCTGTCCCTACTTCAGGCTTCAACTTATGATCAGAAACTTCTCAGTCAAAATGCCTTCCAGTCGATCGCCTGATTGTGCAAGCAACGCTTCGCATCTCTGCATCAAATCCTCAGTTAACTCAGGCCCAGGAGCCACACCTGACAAAATGTTGCT